GTGTGTGTGTGTGTGTGTGTGTGTGTGTGTGTGTGTGTGTGTGTGTGCGCGCGCTCTTGTGTGGGGTGCGGGCTTGCCCGTGCCTCCTGGCGCTCTCAGCGCAGCCCCTGCTGTGTAGCTCATGCAGGCCTTGGATGTGATTCCCTTGCCTCTGCCTCCTGAGTAGTGGGTTAAAGCGTGCACTGGGACCAGCTAAGGCCGAGATTTGGGGGCTTGCTGAGTTAGGAAGGAACGTCCCCGTGTAGAGATGAGCCAAGGCACAGCGCCTTTAAAACCCTCCAGCTGCCGAGTTTTAAATCTGTTAACTGAAAGTCTGAGCTCTATTGCCCTCTAGTGGATGCTGAGGAAGATGAGACTAATGTACCATTTTCAGCAGGAAAGGAGGGAAAGGAGGAGGGGGAAAATATGTTCAAATTAATCTGATCAGATTTTAGAATTCTGTAAAACTTCAATATTTAAGATAGCAAGAGGTTAGCCTGTGGTTAGACAGTTCAAGTAAACTCTGGGGCTGGGGAGTGGCTCAGTGGGTAGAGGTCCTTCACCTGATAAGTGTGGCAACCGATATAACAGATATAAAGGCTAATCCCAGAACAGGTATAAAGGCCGGTAGCAGGAGCAGGTGCTTCCGTGCAGCCAGGAGAACCTAAAAGCTTGCTGGCTTACCTAAGCCGGGTCCACAGTGCAAGGAGACCTGGTCTCAAGATGAGAAGGTTAAGGACCAGCCCCGAGGGCTGTCCTCTGACCTCCACATGTAGAGGGCATGGCTACCCCTCCACATAAGAACACACATGCAGATACAATCACACACAGAGAAAGGAGGAAGAGAAGAAAAGGAGAGAGAAAGACAGGCATGCAAGAAAAGAAAGATGTCTGAGGTTGGTTCACGTCAGTGCAGTGAAGGTCACTGGTGTCAGAAATCTCCACTAGGGCTGGCTCAGGGCACAGGCCCCCCCTGCAGACCCTGACAGACCTGTGCCCGATCCCCGGGACCTGCAAGGAGGAAGGAGAGAACCCCAAATTGTCCCCTGACATCCACAAGCATGCCATGGTGCCTATGTGCTCCAATAGCGAACAGCCTGCTTTTAAAGCCTCCACAGAGCTAGCAAGCACCGTTTGATGCTGCAGTAAGCCCATCCCAACCCCGCCAACATTTCTAGTTCTTTCTGACTAGTTATCTTATTTCTCTAGAACCTTCTAGCACACTATATACTTATTTGTATTTACTTTTTTTTATTGTTTGAATCCCATTGCAAAAAGCTTTTGGGGCCAGGGGTGGTAGTGCACACCTTTAATCCCAGAGCTCAGAAGGGGCAGGAGGATTTCTGAGTTTGGAGCCAGCCTGCTCTACATAGCGAACTCCGGGACAGCTGGGGATACACAGTAAGAACCTATCTTAAACTGAAGTAAATAAATAGTAAGAGTCTGGCTGTGTGGCAGAAAGCGAAAGGTCCTGAATATAATCCTCAGCTAAAAAAATAAAAAGCTTTTGTTAATTGATGTATCCTAGTCCTCCAGAACACTGTCTAGCACATAGTAGGTGCTCAATAAATATTTATTGCATGATCAAATCTCAACTTAGAGATGAAAACATGTCATGTACTATAAATAGGATGGTCACTTTGGCCTTAGGAGGTTTATGTGGTGTGTGCCTGTGTTGTGTGCGTCAACACTGAATCTATAGACGCAGTATTCTTTTTTGTGGTTAATAAGGGATTGTTAATGAGATATTCATGAATAGTAGTGGTTCTCTTTCTTTGCAACTGTGTAAGAAAGGAGGGAGTTTATCACAGGAGAGGCAAGGGGAGGGGATAAGGGTGCCAGGCCAGAGAGCAAGAAAAGAGAACAGGGCTGAAGTGAGGGTCCGTGACCTTTCATGGGTCATTAACACAGTAGCCTCCTTCCCTCATTTCATGGAAGCTCTGCCTCTCAGAGCGTGCCGTCTCTGCTGAATGAGGTCAAGTGCGGTGAGTGCTGCCTGCCTGGTTTCGTTTTGAGACACAACCTCACCCTGTGTAGTACAGGCTGCCCTAAGATAGGTAACCCAGCCTGGCTGCAAACTCATGGCAATCCTCCTGCCTCAGCTTTCTAGGTGCTGAGATTACAGGGGCGAACCACCGCTCCATAATCAACGGCTAAAATTTGTATTTTTGACACATTTTCTATTTTCACTAAATTCCTAACAACCTAGTCTAAATAATTTACAGTTTCTTTGATGATGGCCAGGTGTGGTGGCATATGCCTTTAAGCCAAGCGCTTGGGAGGCACTCTGTGAGTCTGAGGCCAGCCTGGCCTACATAGTGAGATCCTATCTCTATAGTATGATGAAAAGAAAAAGAAAAGTTTAAAAATAAAGGTGTTTATTATTATTATTATTATTTACAATTTGTTCGCTTTGTATCCCAGTTGTGGCCCCCTCCCTCTTCCTCCCCCATCCCTGTCCCCTAGTCTACTGATCAAGGAAGTCCTCCCCCGTTGTCTGACCCGAGCCTATCAGATCCCACCAGGACTGCCTGGAAAGCTGTTTATCTATAAACGCTTGGAAATCCCATTCCCCAGAAGACTTTCTAGGGTTCATTTCAGCTGCACAATCGCAAAGAACGAGGCCAGCGTGACCCCTCACAGATCCCTGGAATAGTCCATACATTTTTGTCAAGCTTTTCTAAATAAGATCCAGGCCGGCGGCAAACTCCTGGTTGAAGTAATCTTCCTTGCTGGGCCTGAGACTCTGGGGTCCGTTTCCCGCCAGCTTGTGGCTCATTTTGAGCTGGCTTTAGGGTAACCTCCAAGTGCCTGTTCCTGCTTGTTCAGGAGTTACAAATAAGCAGCCTCTTTGTTTTGTTAACCTGGCTGTTGTTGTGACATTACTATTATTATTTTTTTTAATAGGGTAGAGAAAATAAATTGCCTGTAGGCTGCCCTTCCATTCTTCTGGGCAGATAGAGCCCGACTTTATTTTTTCTGGTTACATGTGGTCATTTTTCCTGTGTGCACGCCTGTCCGTGTGTGTGGGCATCCGAATGAAGCAGCGGGCGTGTGGAGGTCAGGGGACTGACAGACTCCATCCTCTCATGTGGAGCAGTCGAACCCCTAACCCCACGCTTGGCAGCGTCACCCTGGGGTCCCCAACGCCTGATGTCAGGTAAACAATCTAAACTTACAGAGAGCTTTTGTGTGAGGGTTCCAGTGATGCCAGAGGATCAAAGCCTGCAACTTTCCCAGAGTCCTTCACTGGAGGCCTGGCCCCCAGTCTTGGCAAGCCGTTGGGAAGGTCACTCTCCCCCTGCTTGAGGGATGTAGGGCTTTTACTGCTGCTGTCCTCTCCTTCCTGTCCCGTCTCCCTCGCCTGCTGCTAACCATCCTCTTCCTTGATGTCACTTCTGCCATTGTGAGCCGACAGGCCCTCCCAGCCTGGAGGACATGCTCGGCCACAAGCAAGCAGGGAGCGGGAGCTGGGAGGTGGGGGAGCTGTGGTCCCACCAACACCCTGGAGTTGGGCTGGGTCTGTGTGGAGCCCCAGAGATGTTCCCCAGCCCATTCTTCTTAAGAACCAATGAGTAAAATTAGGGGCCTCCCTCCTGCGGTCAGGGACCCAGGCCCTGGAATGGAACTTGGGGTGGAAGATGGCCTTCTTTGTCAACTAATTCATTCTCCAGAATTCAGCTTGTTCAAGGACTCAGTGGTGTTTGAGAGCACCTTTATCCAGGTACCTCCTTCGCCTCCCCTTCCCACGGCCTGTTCTCAAGGGTTAGGAGATGGACCTGAGGGTGTGAGAGGCACAAAAGCCAGAGCAAACCCGAGGCTCTAGGCCCCAAGGTCTGCAGGGAATTCCTTCACACTACAGGCAAAGAGTTAGGTAGTATTCTGGGACAAGAAAGAAGCTTTTTAAAAAATGTAGCTTGGCTGGTCTAGAGCTCTATAGACCAGGCTGGCCTCAAACTCGTAGAGATTGCTCTGCCCCTGCCTCCCGAGTGCTGGGGTTAAAGGTGCCATTGCACCCAACCAAAGCATCTTTTTAAAAGGTTTTTTTGTTTGTTTGTTTGTTTTTAAGCCGGGTGTGATGGCGCACGCCTGTGATCTCGGCACTCAGCATGGGAAAGCAGAGGCAGGTGGATCTCTGGGAATTCCAGGCCAGCCTACAAAGTGAATCCAGAACAGCCAAGACTACAAAGAGAAACCCTGTCTCGAAAAACCAAAACAAAAAAAAGTTTTTTTTTTTAAATGATTTATCTATTTTTAATTGTGTCTGTGCACATGAGTGTAGAGCCCTGGGAGGCCAGAAGAGGGCAGCACATCCCCTGGAGCTGGAGTTACAGTGACTGACATGGGTGCATGCTGGAAACAGCTTCAGATCCTTTGAAGATCAATAAACACTCTTCATGGCTGAGCTGTCTCCTTAGCCCAAAAAGGAGCCTCAAAAACTGTTATCAATGGTAACTGTTTACAGGCCAGAAGAGGGCACCAGATTGCACTGTAGATGGTTTGAGCCACCATGTGGTTGCTGGGAATTGAACTCAGGACCTCTGGAAGAACAGTAACCTCTGCACCATCTCTCCAGCCCATGGTAACTGTCTAAGCAAGCTCTATTCTCTAAGCAAGCTCTGTCCTCTAAGCAAGCACTGAGACCATCTGGACCAGCAATGCATGACTACACACACCCGGCATCCTCTCTGGACTTGGGGAGTTGAAAAAGGTGTGCTGGACAGCAGGGGTCCTTGCTGCTCTTTGTGGGCACTGCTGAGTTTTGGTAAAGCTTAAGAGCAGGCAGAGGAGCTGGAGAGACGGCTCAGCGGTCAAGAGCACTGGCTGCTCTTCCAGAGGACCTGAGTTCAATTCCCAGCACCCACATGCTTCACAACCGTCTATAGTGAGATCTGCCCTCTTCTGCATGCAGGTGAACATGCAGATAAAGCACTCATATACATGAAAGAAAGAAATAAATCTTTTTTAAAAAAAGGTCAAGGTGGGGAGACTGGACTGAAGGGAGGGGCTGATGTCACGGTCCACCAAAGTGAAGTGGAGAAGTGCCAGGGAGTGGTAGAGGAGATGGCGGGAACCTTTGCAGGTGGGTCTAGGAATTAACCCTGTGCCCTCACAGCTTCTTCCCACCGTGGCACCAGTGCGGGAACACCGCTTCAGTGCTCCCAGTGCTCCTGGGGAGGCGCCCGTGTCCCGGGGTATGGACCAGCCAGCCTGGGTGAGGGAACAATGAGGTGGGAGCCAGGCTGTTTCGAGTTCCGGTCATCCCTCTGTGATTCTTGGCAGTGATTTCCTCTGCCTTTCTTCTGCATGATCTAATGTCGAAGCTGTTGAGAGTCTCTGTTGGGGTCGTGGGCTCTGCGTGACCCGAGCCCCTAGAGACACCACCTTCACTTGAAATGACTCACTCTTCAGCTGGTTCCCCCTCTTCCTCTCTCCCGTTTTCTACGTCACTACCCCCCCCCCCCCCCGCCCATCCCAGAGTGTGACCAGTTCCCCGCATTTTTTGAGCACTTACCCTCGGCGGTTACACTTCTCTGTTTCGTGGGGACTGCAGACTTCTTGGCCAGGCCGGTAGGAATTAATTTCAGTCCTCCCTGGGCTTTCCCTTGCCCACTGTTCCCCTATGGGATCACAATGCCGGGGCTGTGCAGAGTCTAGAATGCGGGGAGAGCACCGCTGGTCTTGGGAACAGGCATCTCTGCATATGTTAATTTATGGTTCCTTGATGGCCACAGCTTTGGTGCTCTTCTTCCTGGAGCTGAGTCGAGCCTCGGCGCTGGGTATCCGCTGCCCCTGTCCTGCCACAGCCTCCAGTGCTTTGAGAAGCGGCAGAGCCCCTGCAACAAGCTTCCCCCTCTCATCTGAGGGAAGACGTCCGGCCCCCTCCACGGAGCTTCCTGGCTATTTCCATACTCTTCCTCCTGTGGAACTCTCTTCCTACCCATCCCTTCCAGGCCATTGGAAAGCTGTGCTGGGAGCTGGGCATGGTGGTGTGCGCCTGTAATCCTAGCATTTGGGGAGGCAGAGGCAGTGGATTGCTGTGAGTTCAAGTCCAGGACGGACTACAAAGTGAGTCCAGGACAGCCAAGGCTACACGGAGAAACCCTGTCTTGAAAAATTAAAAGAAGGAAAGGAAGGGAGGGAGGGGAGGAAGGAAGGAAGGAAGGAAGGAAGGAAGGAAGGAAGGAAGGAAGGAAGGAAGGAAGGAAGGAAAGAAGGAAGGAAGGAAGGAAGGAAGGAAAAGAAAAAGAAAAAGAAAAGAAAAGAAAAGAAAATTGCTGGTTTCTCTGACCCAGGGAGGGAAGTGTAAATTTTCCAGGCCACTCAGCCTTTGTGCTTTCTAAACGTCTTTCTGGCTGTGTGGTTATTTGTTGCTTTAAGCCTAGGCTGCCCTCTAACTCCATATGAAACCAAGAAGGACTCTGAGCTCCTGGTTCTCCTGCCTCACTCCCAGGTGACTAGTGTATGGTTTCCAAGTTACACACGTGTTTCTGGGCACAGAGCTGCACCGCACAGGTTGCTGCTGTCCACAGACTTTACGTCTGGGCGTCTGGGGAGAGCAGCGACAGCGGCCAGCAGCCGGACATGCTGTCGCTCACCAGGACTGAGGGGCCTGTCTGGTGTCTGCATCCTCCTCTGCTTGCTGCTATCTGGTTCTGACCCGTGTCCCTGGGGCTGATTTCCAGGTCACTAAGCAGGGACACTGGATGGACGCCTACGAAAAGTCTGCCACTGTGATCCTTGGAGTAACCTCTTCCGTGCCCTCCTTGCCACTCCCCAATGTCCTCCTGATGGCCAATGTCACCTGGCCTCACGGTCCGCTTTCCACCTGTAGCACGCCTGGCGCCCCTGTCATCACTCTCAGCAGGTAAAGAAGGCTGGAGGGAGGGGCTGCAGCAGGGACTGCTGGCAGGAATGTGCGTTCTATCAGGGGGCTTCGGACAGGCAGGAAGGGCGGTGCTCTCCGCAGGAGTGCCCCACAGTCCACCGTCTCTTAAGGCGCGTTTACTTAGTGTCTGTGACAAGCACCGTGCTTCCAACGAAGGCTGAGGCGCTGTTCCTGTCTCCAGCTCAGTCCTTAAGGATCTTGGCTTCCCTTTAATTTTATTTTTTAGGTTTTTTTGGAGACAGGGTCTCCCCATGTAACCCTGTCTTTTCAAGACAAGGCTATTCTAGAACTAACAGAGAGCCCAACCTTGGCTTCCTGGTTTGTCAGGGTAGATGTGGGGAAATTCCAAAGAGAAGATGGAAGTTTGTTTGTTTGTTTGTTTGTTTGTTTGTTTGTTTGTTTTTAAGACAAGAGCTACTGAAATGTTTGCTTTTTTTTCTCCCCGCCTCTAACCTATGGGAGTTGTGTCTCTCCTGCTGTGTGGGTTCTGTGGCTTGAACTCAAGCTGCCAAAGGTAACAACAAGCACCTAAACCTTGGAGCCATCTGCCAGCCCAAAGATGGAGGTATCAAAGTCAAATAGGACTATGAGATACTGAGGTTGAAAAAAAAAAAGATATTGCTGGCTAGGCATAGTGGCACACACCTGTAATCCCAGCACTCGGGAGGCAGAGGCAGGTGGATCTCTGTGAGTTTGAGGCCAGCCTGGTCTACAGAGTGAGTTCCAGGACAACCGAGGCTACACAGAGAAACCCTGTCTCGAAGAAGGAAAGAGAGAAAGAAAGAAAGAAAGAAAGAAAGAAAGAAAGAAAGAAAGAAAGAAAGAAAGAAAGAAAGAAAGGAAGGAAGGAAGG